GTGCCAAGTGACGCTGTGCACCACCCTGGCATCAACTGTCATGCAGAACACTTACCAAGGGATGCCTCTGATACTCAGATGAGTTTGAGTAAATTTTAGCAGCATTAAACTAGCATCTTTGATCACTCATTTTCTGGTATTACAGATGTGATGTGGATTTCAAGAGAAATATATACTTCTGGGTTTTCTATTGCTCCTTGTCCTGTTGTGGTTCCTGTATACTAGAGAGCACATTTGTTGCATGTATTGCTTACTTGGTTTCTGAATCCAGCTTTTCTGACTGCTCTCGACCTCTGCAATCTTGACCTTGACTTGTCCGTCGATTTTGTGTCTTCCTGAACCCCTTGACCTGGGCTTGTCTTTAGTTTCTGTCCTGTCTCTATCAACGTGTGTATTTCCGAGTAAGGGTTTGGTTAGCCTCGACACATCAATAGTTAGGCAACACTAATGTCTTTCGATTTTGATATCTGTACAAAATCAGGAGGCAATAGTACATAAGTTATTAGTTTGAGTAATAACATAATATACCATAGACAAGATTACAAGATGTAAGTCTGAATGGTTAATAACATAACTCAATATCAGTGTTATAACGGTGGCATAAAGTTAGTGTGGACTAAAGTATATGTCAAGAAACACACGTATTGCAGAAATATTTGATATATTAAATATATTATGTTTTGTGAGATATTGTTTTGAGCCAGTCACGAACGATGTGAATGAATCAATTTTTCGTGAACTTCTACAAAATAATTCAATTAAGCAAGTTCATCACAATTCCATATTAATTATATTATGCGTAGAAATAGATTTAAACATCATTTATTTGTCATTTATTTGATATTATAAGGAAACAATGGGTAATATTTCACAGGTAAAATGCAATATTTGTAAAACATCAAAGTTAATAGATTTATTCCCTTAGCAACATTGCTGTGTTTATTGAATATCAATTTTATACTCTAAACTAATTTCCATCAAATCCTAGGAAACTACTAGACCTTTTCCCATTAAAGGAAACACCAATGATCACAGTTACTATTACAGAGTTAGGACACTTGTGATAAAATATTGGAGCTGGTTTTTATATGTATATGCAGTCTGGATATAGTTATGGTGTTTATATCATACGCGAGTTTGGAAAAATTATTTAACCCCTTAAAGGGACACTTTAGTCACTATAACCACTTTGTCTCTTTGAATTGGTTATAGTGCCTGGAGTGGCCTGGCACTGTCCCTCCATTCACTGTTGCACCATGTTTGTGCAGTATGCCACAAAATAAGAGTCCCTGGCCACCCACAGTCCGGCCCCTTCTGTATGTGTAGCTAAGGCAGAGATTACACACTTCCTTGTTGTCATACCCATTTATACCATCAGTTGGAGCTCTGACAGGTTAAAAGCAGTCAGCTGACACACTCAGCCAATCACAGCTGCCCATTGCTGCTCAGGGTAATACTTCCTTATTAGCCAAAGCAGCACAGAGGGGATAAACTGCCGTGGACTCTTGTTTAGCATTAAAACATTACAACATTAAAAACTGTTTAATGCTGAAAGAAATTATGGTACCAGGGGACTCCAGACACTATAACCAGTTTAATGAGACACATGACGGAAACATTCCGTCATGATTCCCTTTTATTCCAGAAGGTGTGTCCTTAAGGGGTTAACATGGAATTAGAAATATATGTGAAATATATGCATCATGTTTACTTTCTGTCAGCATCAAGGCCTGTAAGCAATCTAAAAATATTTTCTCTTTATTTAAACATACAGACTATATCTAAATATCTAAATAATTCTAACTAGCTCAACAGACATAAGAGTCTAGACCGGTGGTTACTATTTTAAGAAGCACTGCTCTAGCCTTCATTAAAAAGTATCTGTACCGAAAACTTTCGAAGAATTGAAAACATTTAACCAATGAAAATACTATTTTGTGTATTTATTATTTATTTTGCTCTGCATATATTAAAGCTCACAGTGGCCATGTGGGGTAATACAGGTAACAAAAAAACCTTAAAAATATTTTTTTTTTTAAAACTAAAAATGGAAGCTATTTACCTCTTGTCAGTCCACCCTTGATTGAGAGTGATTAAAATGATGTTTATTAAAGTTTCATGCAAAATATAAGGAAAATTAAGTACCAAAGCTGTTTTTTTTTAAATCTGATTTTTATTATATTCCTCCAATATAAACACTGATACAATATATGCTATGGACCATAACATATACATCGATATGTGCAACAGAATGTCAGGTACAAGATACTGCATACAAAAAGGATAACAGGGGTGCTTTAGAAAGAATTACCAAATGTACAGGGAGTGCAGAATTATTAGGCAAATGAGTATTTTGACCACATCATCCTCTTTATGCATGTTGTCTTACTCCAAGCTGTATAGGCTCGAAAGCCTACTACCAATTAAGCATATTAGGTGATGTGCATCTCTGTAATGAGAAGGGGTGTGGTCTATTATCAGGTGTGCATAATTATTAGGCAAATTCCTTTCCTTTGGCAAAATGGGTCAAAAGAAGGACTTGACAGGCTCAGAAAAGTAAAAAATAGTGAGATATCTTGCAGAGGGATGCAGCACTCTTAAAATTGCAAAGCTTCTGAAGCGTGATCATCGAACAATCAAGCTGTCAGGGTACCTGTTGGTGATGTATCCAGGGAGGACATCCTCTCTGCTTAGGGGTTCCCTTCCCCTAGCATTTCGGCATATTTCGGCCGTTTTCGCGCCGGCCGCGCTAGCTCCTCCCCCTTTTATGACGCGACGGCTAGCGTCGACGTCATGACGTCGGCATTTGCATAAAGTGCCGGGAACCGCTATTCCGGACCTTTTGGTGGCGTGGTCTCTATTTAGGTAACAGGGTATTTAAAGGAAACCTTTACTACTGCTCATTGCCCTGTCGTGGTTCTAGCTTGCTAGTCACTCAGCGCGTTCTTTATCTTGTGTTTCCGGTTTTGACCCTTGCTTGTCTTTTGTCCTGTTGTCCTCTCCTCTCCTTTGACTCGGCTTGTATCTCGCTTACCTGTCCTCCGGCTCCCTTGACCTCGGCTTACCTTTTGACTATTCTTGCTTGTCCTTACGTTAGTCCGGCCATTCTAAGGTCCGGTATACGTACCTCCTGCTGTGCGCACTCTGCGTATTGGATCCCTGTCAGTTTCCTGACATTACGACAGGGCCAGATGGATCCTGCAGGTGCTAGTCCTCCTGACCCCAGATTTGAGGCCATGGACCATAGAATGGACCAAATGGCGTTAGCGTTACAAACTTTGTTGACACGCTCCAGTACCCAGTCTGAAGAAATACGTTCCACTGCTAGCTACTCGCTAAGTACTGGTTTGGAAGTAGCCACTGTAGGCGCATCTTCCCATGTCACGTCACCATTACGATATGGGGGTTCGCCTGATGCTTGTCGTGGTTTTTTAAACCAGATAAGTATACATTTCGAACTACAACCCCGGGCTTACCCACTGACAGGGCTAAGGTAGGCTTTATTATAACCCTGCTAATAGATAAAGCACTTAGATGGGCCAATCCCCTTTGGGAGAATGACAATCCTTTAGTCTACAACTACACTGCATTTGTCACGGCTTTTAGAAGAACCTTTGACCCCCCAGGGAGGAAGATTAATGCGGCCAGAACCCTGTTACGCCTTAAACAACAAGATAGGACCCTTGTAGAATATGCTCTAGAGTTTAGATCATTGGCAGCAGAAGTGAAATGGAACGAACAAGCTTTTATGGATGTTTTCTTGAATGGGTTGTCTGATGAAATTCTAGATGAAATTGCCACAAGAGAACTTCCGGAAAATTTAGAGGATTTAGTATCCTTCATTTCCAGAATAGATGAACGCATGAGACAGAGGCAGAACACTCGGGAAAGAGTTACTAGACTTCCTGTAAGACTCGCTCCCTCATTTCAGAACCCTGACTCCTATAATCCTACTCCACCAGAACCTATGCAAATAGGTAATACTCGCTTATCTGAGGCTGAGAGACAGTACAGAAGAAGGGAGGGTCTCTGTTTATACTGCGGGCTGAGAGGTCACCTACGTCTTAGTTGCCCTAATCGTCCGGGAAACGCTCGCACCTAAGTTCCCTTAGAGGACGGGCCTTGGGTGTTTCATTACTGTCCTCTATGCATAATAAAAAGACCATAGGCTTCTGATTCCTGTCTCTCTAGCTTGGGAAAAGGGGTTTATTGCTACGATGGCATTATTAGATTCTGGAGCAGCAGAAAGCTTTATAGACCAAACTTTCGCTAATAAGCATTGTATCCCATTCCAATTGAGAGATACACCCTTGGCCGTTGAGGCCATAGATGGTAGACCTTTATCTGAACCAGTAATATTCCATGAGACCGAACCCGTTAAGCTTACTGTTGGTATTTTCCACGAAGAGTTGATTTCCCTTCTGTTAATTTCCTCCCCGGCAGTCCCAGTGGTTCTAGGATATTCTTGGCTCAAGAGACACAACCCTCAGATTGACTGGGAGGGTGGAGAAATCGTTTCTTGGGGTATGGGTTGTAGGAAAGAATGTCTGCAGAGAGTTACTTCTGTTTGCCCCGTGAACTCTTATGCTAACACTTCTCAATCCACAGACGTTCAGATACCATTACAATATCTAGACCTCAAATCTGTATTTGACAAGGGTAAGGCGGATACTTTACCTCCCCACCGGTCTTATGACTGTTCTATTAAACTTTTCCCTGGTACTATGCCTCCCAGGGGTACGGTATACCCTCTATCCACCAAGGAAAACTTAGTTTTAGAGGAATATATCAAGGAGAATTTAGACAAGGGATTTATTAGAAAGTCTTCTTCTCCGGCGGGGGCGGGTTTCTTTTTTGTAGAAAAGAAAGACGGTACCTTACGTCCTTGTATAGACTATCGGGGATTGAACAAAATTACTATCAGAAATGCTTACCCTATTCCTTTGATTACTGAACTCTTTGACAGACTAAAGGGCTCGAGTATTTTTACTAAACTTGACTTAAGAGGAGCATATAACTTAGTGCGAATTAAACAAGGAGATGAATGGATGACAGCATTTAATACCCGTTACGGGCATTATGAGTATACCGTAATGCCGTTTGGGCTTTGTAACGCCCCGGCCGTCTTCCAAGACTTGATCAATGAAGTTCTTAGAGAATTCCAACATGAATGTGTAATTGTATATTTGGATGATATACTAATCCATTCTAGAGACATTAATTCACATCATAGACAAGTCAGAAAGGTATTACAGAAACTTTTACAACATGGATTGTATTGTAAATTGGAAAAATGTAGCTTTGACCAGTCTCAGGTAACTTTCTTAGGTTACGTAATTTCCAAAGACGGGTTTATGATGGACCCGACCAAACTAAAATCGATTTTAGATTGGCCTTTACCTAAGGGACTCAAAGCCATACAAAGATTTCTTGGATTTTCTAATTATTACAGACGTTTTATTAAAGGGTACTCCTCTGTTATCGCTCCTATCACTAATATGACCAAACAAGGAGCCGATACCAAAACCTGGTCTACTGAGGCTTTATCTGCTTTCGAAACGCTCAAACAGTCTTTTGCCTCAGCACCTGTATTAGTTCATCCTGATACCTCTCTACCCTTTTTACTTGAAGTTGATGCGTCTGAAACAGGGATAGGCGCAGTGTTATCCCAAAGACAAAGTTTAGATAAGCCGCTGCACCCTTGCGGTTTTTTTTCCAAGAAACTGTCACACACTGAAAGGAGATATGACATTGGTGATAGAGAACTTTTAGCTATCATTATGGCATTAAAGGAATGGAGACATTTGTTAGAGGGCACCGTCCTCCCAGTTACTATCTTGACTGACCACAAAAATTTATCGTATATGGGGGAGGCCAAAAGATTATCTGCCAGGCAGGCACGTTGGTCTATGTTCCTTACACACTTTAATTATGTGCTTACTTACAGGCCTGGTTCTAAGAACACTAAGGCAGACGCTTTGTCACGTCAGCACGAACCTACCACCTCTACAGAGGATACTTTGTTCCCTATTATTCCTGAAGTCAATATTATCGCCAACACCAATGTCAAAATACACTCTCCATTGCTCGCTGATATTCAGAACGAACAATCTCTTGCTCCCGAACGTACTCCTGTGGGCCGCTTGTTCGTGTCTCCCAAATTCCAAGTGGACATTATTCGCTGTTTCCACGATAGCAAGATCGCTGGTCACCCCGGCATCCACAAAACTTACTGCCTGATCTCCAAAGACTTCTGGTGGCCCGGTTTACGTAGGGATGTGGAAGACTTTGTCAAGGCTTGCAATGTTTGTGTCAGGAATAAACTTCCGCGGGATCTCCCTTGTGGTTTATTGCAGCCCTTAGTCGTTCCCAACAAACCTTGGGCTTGTTTGGCTATGGATTTTATTGTTGATCTACCAGCTTCCAATAGGCATACAGTTATCCTCACGGTCCTTGACAGGTTTACTAAAATGGCTCATTTTGTTCCCTTGCCTAAACTTCCTTCCTCCCCCGAACTGGCCGTGATATTTGCTAGAGAAATTTTCCGTTTACATGGTATTCCCAATGAGATTGTGTCAGACAGGGGTTCCCAATTTATTTCCCGTTTTTGGAGATCCTTCTGTTCACAGTTGGGCATCAAACTGAATTTTTCTTCGGCCTATCATCCTCAATCTAACGGAGCAGCCGAACGCACTAACCAAAAAATTGAGCAATATCTACGTTGTTTTGTTTCTGAACACCAGGATGACTGGGTCGGTCTGATTCCTTGGGCGGAGTTTGCTCACAACAACCTTGTTTGTGGTTCCACTCATAATAGCCCCCTTTTCTTGAACTATGGCTTTAACCCTACTGTTCTTCCGTCGGTGTCTCCTTCCCAGGGTATACCGTCGGTTGATATTCATATAGCCAACCTGAGAAAGTTGTGGGATCAGACTCGACAAATTCTTGAACGTAGTTCCGCGGTGTTTAAGTCACATGCTGATAGGCGTAGACGTCCTGCTCCTATTTTTTCTCCGGGGGATAGGGTCTGGTTGTGTACCAGACACATTCGCCTGAAAGTTCCTTCCTTGAAGTTTGCTCCTCGTTACATTGGTCCTTACAGGGTACTGAGGAGGATCAACCCGGTTTCCTATTTACTGGATCTACCTCCTACTCTACGCATCCCTAACTCTTTTCATGTGTCGTTATTGAAACCTCTGGTTTGTAACAGATTTTCCTCCCGCTCTACTCCTCCATCCTCGGTCCGTGTGGATGGTCAGGAGGAATATATCATCAAGTCCATCCTTGATTCTCGTATTTCTAGGGGGAAGCTGCAATACCTCATAGACTGGAAAGGTTATGGTCCAGAAGAGAGGTCTTGGGTTCCTGGTATAGACGTGCATGCTCCTCGTCTTCTACGGGCCTTCCACGTTCGTTTTCCTTCTAAGCCAGGTCCCATCCGCCCGGTGGGCGTTTCTAGAAGGGGGGGTACTGTCAGGGTACCTGTTGGTGATGTATCCAGGGAGGACATCCTCTCTGCTTAGGGGCTCCCTTCCCCTAGCATTTCGGCATATTTCGGCCGTTTTCGCGCCGGCCGCGCTAGCTCCTCCCCCTTTTATGACGCGACGGCTAGCGTCGACGTCATGACGTCGGCATTTGCATAAAGTGCCGGGAACCGCTATTCCGGACCTTTTGGGGGCGTGGTCTCTATTTAGGTAACAGGGTATTTAAAGGAAACCTTTACTACTGCTCATTGCCCTGTCGTGGTTCTAGCTTGCTAGTCACTCAGCGCGTTCTTTATCTTGTGTTTCCGGTTTTGACCCTTGCTTGTCTTTTGTCCTGTTGTCCTCTCCTCTCCTTTGACTCGGCTTGTATCTCGCTTACCTGTCCTCCGGCTCCCTTGACCTCGGCTTACCTTTTGACTATTCTTGCTTTGTCCTTACGTTAGTCCGGCCATTCTAAGGTCCGGTATACGTACCTCCTTCTGTGCGCACTCTGCGTATTGGATCCCTGTCAGTTTCCTGACACAAGCGTTTCATTCAAAATAGTCAACAGGGTCGCAAGAAGCGTGTGGAAAAACCAAGGCGCAAAATAACTGCCCATGAACTGAGAAAAGTCAAGCGTGCAGCTGCCACGATGCCACTTGCCACCAGTTTGGCCATATTTCAGAGCTGCAACATCACTGGAGTGCCCAAAATCACAAGGTGTGCAATACTCAGAGACATGGCCAAGGTAAGAAAGGCTGAAAGACGACCATCACTGAACAAGACACACAAGCTGAAACATCAAGACTGGGCCAAGAAATATCTCAAGACTGATTTTTCTAAGGTTTTATGGACTGATGAAATGAGAGTGAGTCTTGATGGGCCAGATGGATGG